CCATGTTTCCCAGCTATAATACATGTATAAGGATATGGAAATTTGGGATACACGTTCAGAAACTGAAGGTATTGTAAACTGAAATCAAGGCAGTTGCAAGCACTTAAAAAAATTTATGAAGACTTCACTTTGTACTTCCATGACAGTATATATTGACAGTAACGTTTTTGACATGTTGCATAGTCAAATTATTGGCCTGTTTCTTCATTGCTGTCTCATGCCTTGGCATAGTGCTGTGTACCTAAAGCCATATTCAGGTTCAAGTCCAGATTCAAGTCCAGAGGTTTAGGTTCAGGTTCAGACTTGTAAGTCCAGACCTAAACCCAGGGCATATACAAAATACAGAAGGGACTTTTCAGTGAACATTTCATAATGGGAAATGAGGCATCTTTACTGCAAAATTTTGTAGCCCAATGCCCAGTGGCAATGTTTTCTTCATTTTGCAGTGCAAATTTTTCATCTATTGAAGATGTTAGGTAGTTTTAATAGAACAAGTTTTTAAGTTTTAAAAGAGGAATGTGACATGATTTTTTTGGTAAGTCCGGAACTGGTTCCAGGCATTCACTTTTTTTGGACTGGAACCTAAACATTTTTACAAGTCCAGAACTGGTCCAGTGAACTGGTACACAGCATTACATTGGCATCAGGAAGCAGTTTCACAAAATCCCTGTAATCTCAAGCACTGGAAACAAGAGAAGCCACTGTGTGGTTTCAAGTTGAAGTTTAATTTCCTTCTAGGAATGTCTTGTTGACCTCTAGAGCCCCTTTGCTGCAGCAATAACACTGTTGAGGCTTTCCAGACCTTGGAAAGGGTGCTTGTGGGTTCAGCATAATATGCTTCTTAACAATGTTTTGAAACAGAAAACCGTTACTGTCTACATTTTGGAACTCTTTATACACAGATATTTTATCTAACAGGCATTAATGTGGTAATAAATCTTTTAATGTGCTGGATTCTTCCAAAGATATCTTCCATGAAAATACATGTAAATACTTTTTAATGACTTATACATGACATGAACATGCCTATTTTTTCTGATAATATGTATAATACTTAAGTCAGATTCAGAGAAGATTTACAAGCAACATCAAAAGTCTATAACCCCATAGTAGAGGGTTGATAACTGCCCTTACAGTTTGCGTTTATAGTTGCCACACCCCACATTTTACCCAGATGGCCCATCAAATATTGAGAAAGGAAATGCTACGAGCCAGACCGATCCATAAAAACTCTGATTTGATGACTGACTAAGTTTGGAAATCAGAATAATTTGTTGGACTTGGTCCTGAGCCAAGGTAAAGTCTGGTGCATTTATCACAGTACTTGTGCAGATGGTAGAGTGAAGGGAAGAACCTATATTATACCATTAATAATAATTTTATTGCACAACAATTATACAGTGTAAAGTAAGGCTACAATGCTACATACCTAATACAAGAGTGTACTAGTATACATGTAGGTGGGGATAAGCTTTTAAAATAATTGGAGGCGTTAGAAATCATTAATTTCTAGCGCCTAGACATTCTTTAATATACCAGTATATCCCTGTGAATACCATGCAATGTCATTATGCACTTGAATTTGCACTTCATAAATGATTTCCCAATAATTATTGAATTTAATTGGCTGGCTACGATTAACGGTGAATTAAAATGGCTTCCTAAGCCTCTTGGAAAAAGCCATGCGGAGCCTTATTAAGTAAAGTATTCTTTTGGCAATACATGTGTGTGGGAGGTAGGTTAACCAGGTGGGGTTGAGGAAACAGTCAGTGATATCCTGAGAACTGGTAACATTTGTGGAAAGTATTCTCCTTGATGAATGTACCATATTTTGTAGCACCACATAAATGTCAATGGGTGATGGAGTGCAACTATATGCAGTAAAGTGCTTCGGATGGGAAAGAGCCGCGGAAGAAAGTTACCATCTGATCCTCTCAATTGCCTAACTGGAAATCTTCCAACAAAACTGTAACCTCAGCAAGTGCAAGTGTAGTGGTGGAGGATTGACACTTTTGAAAGTTTCATGTGATGGCTGGGATATTGAGATGAAGTCAGAACCTCAGGATGGAGAAGGGGGATGTTTTTTTTATTCCATCACAATCATAAGATGTGGTGGGAACACACTCGATTTTTTTCAACTTATATTAATGCTGCCACCAACACAAGGGACAATACAAAACTCATTTTCGCCTGAGCGAAGTGGGGAAAGTCATGTAAAGTGCCTTTCCCAAGGGCACAAGATCGGTGGTGTGTCAAGACTCAAACCCGGGACCTCTTGGTTCCGAGTTGAGCACTCTGCTGTTAGCACATGCTCTGGAAAAAAAGAGACATTAGTTTGGGTCTCCTAGCAGCTTGTTTTTTGTGAAGTTCAAAGAATTTTGATTGAAATGCAACTGCCAAATCAGAAATCTTTACATAGTTGGAGGGCGTTGAGATGTTACGCAGAATGGAGAAAAGAGAGTGCACGCGTAGGGCGTATTTTGAAGTAAAAACCTGTCTATTATTCTGCGTTTCTGATTGTCGTTTCCAGACAAAAGTGTCCACCTGTTTACTATACCTGTCCCCCAGGTGAGAGTGTATAGGTGTAAACATGCCAGTCACTCAACACTTACATAGCTGCTTACCTGGACAAGTAAACAAGACAGGTTTTAAATGACCCTCAAGTGTCAACACAGGCATTTCACACTGCACAGGACCTGGTGGCCTTTCTTGTCTGTATTTTCACTAGGTTTTTTTTTTCTCAGAACATAAAACAACAGAATGAAAATGCATACAACAAACATGTTACAGTATGTTGATGTTAGCTGATGTAGGTTTGACAATATCAGAAGGATTGGTTGAACCTCTGCAGAAGACTGAAGCTATGCAAACATTTGCGTCTGCAGATTCCAGCCAGGCAGAACAGGCCTTCCTGTTTACCCCTTACAAAGCCTTCTTTGTCGTTCATGCTAAAGTCTTGTAGTGTAATGTCATACCTTACTGAGGGTGTGCACTATTAACAGTGTGTTCAAGATTCTACCTGTATTGGCACATTCCAAAACAAAGTGCAATGGCACTGTGAGTCTGTAACTTGAATGTACCATGTACCAAAATATTGTTAGTGTAAATCTTTAAGCTTTTTCAGGAGAGTGAGCAATGCTTAATGATTATACATCATTTTGCCTTTTCTTTAATGTTTATTTTAGGACACAGTTACATGTATTGATGTTAAATTTTGTAAGTCATGTACATTGTATAATATATTATGCTTTTTTTAGTCTCGATAGTGTGTATTTTACCCTTGTGGAACATTATCACTTTGGAATTAGCATATTGTGGGTCCTGTGCATTAAAATTCCAGGCTGAATTCCCATCTCTTGTTTTGATGACAGTACAGTAAAATCCCTAACGAAGTTTAAATTTTTAATGAAGCATGTCCTCCCAGGTTTATATTTACCCTGTTCTGAAGTTCAAAGCTGTTCAAGTATGCACTGCACAGTGAAACAGGCCAGGGACGTAAAGTTGGTATAGTAGTTTTATTGGGCCATTTAGAGTAATTTTAATGGCCAGTTATGGCTCCTCTACGTCGTTTGACTAAGCCACTTAACTATACACCCCGCAGTCATTACCATGAACCGAGTACAACCTTTGTTCTGAGAATTCTATATTCTGTGCCACAGTCCCAGTCTTAAATCCCATCAGAGACTGTGAGTCTTACCAACCACCCAACTCTTTAATCCAGCGTTTGGAGGCAGCGGGTTAGCTAGACTTAGTGGTGCGACGCGTGTCCGAGGTATAATGCAATATACATACAGTACGCGATAAATAAATGAATGGGTTTTTCCCAGTGTTCCTAACCACCTGTCGTGTCCTATAACCGGATGTTGAGCTGGAAAAGATCAGGGGAAAGTAAGATGGATGTGTTGTAGTTTGGAGGAAATCTGGGTGCAGCTGAGGTATCATTATCCAGCACCGCTCCAGGCCCTACTGTCGGCTCTAATTGTGATGCTGTGTACCGGAAAAGGTTAGATGGTTTTATGGACAGTTAAAATAACCCGGAGCTAAGTAAAAAGGCACCGGTAAGTTGGACAGGGAATCAGGAATTGAAATAACCTGGGTAATGATAAGACTAAGGGTTGCCCTGAAAATGGATTTAGTGAAAGGTAGCTGGAAAGGTTTTAAAGCAATGCGGAAATGTGTAATTTTCACACGTATTAAGTTGGGAGATGTGGTAGTGATATATATTATATATACTAAGTCTTGTACTGTAGAATCATCTTATAAAGAGTTACCACACTAAACTGTAAAGAGAACCAATGTGCAAAACACAGGAAGCTTGTATGTACAGAACAAACAAACTAGACAATGCCCTTCATGCAGACTCCATAGCCAAATCCCTAGGTTGTATTCAAAGTGTTATATGACGTACATATAGAGACAAGTGCACCAGGTACAAATGTACCTGCTAGTATTTTCCAACTACCCTTCAAGTGATAACCCTTTAATCGCAACATCAGTACGTTTTCGCACCTTTTTCTGGGATATGCATAATGCCAGTTTCTTCCTTTTGCTAACATGACAGGTGTATCCAGGGCTTCCTTGGACAGTTAGGTACAGTAAAATTAGGTTTTCATGTACAACGTACAGTGTGTGTAACCTCCAACTTATTGTTCTTTCTTTACAATTTTTACTGTGAAGCATGGAACCCATGTACACGTACAATAGAACAGTGTAATACCGTATGTGTGATTTCCAACTTCTTGTTTCTTTCTTTCCAGGTACTGCGAACCATGGAACCCATGTACACGTACAATAGAATATTTGTAATATGTGTAATTTCCAACTTCTTGTTTCTTTCTTTACAGACACTGTGAACCATGGAACCCATGTACATGTAGAATAGAATATGTGTAATTTCCAACTTCTTGTTTCTTCCTTTACAGACACTGTGAACCATGGAACTCATGTACATGTACAATAGAATATGTGTAATTTCCAACTTGTTGTTTCTTTCTTTACAGACACTGTGAACCATGGAACCCACGGAGATGTCTACTCCAGAAGGGGCGCCGAAGGACTGCCCCATCTGCGGACACCCGTACAACAAGGGGAAGAAACGTCGGCTGATCGACGCCTGCGGACACGAGCGATGTTTCACCTGCATGTTCCAGGTGGAGGAGTGTCCCATCTGCAATAAACCTGGTCAGGAAAAATCTGTTTCTCTCTTTGTGCAGTGCACTTGTCAATGTAAACCTACTAGTATAGTCATATAGGTGGGCCTGTTTTTGTGTGTGTAAGATGAAGAACATAATACACATTAAAAGCCTAGGATAACCTGTATTTCACTAGATATGATGAAGAGAAACAATATACTACTGGGTAGTCAAGGTGTGCAATTTAATGTTAATGAAGAGCTGCCATATATACCTCCTGATATTTGCATTGACATGTACATGTAATCAACTTTACCATAAGTAAAAGTACATTACTGTATTTTCTTACAGCTCAAAATTGCAAAGCACTTCTAGATGTTGTAAGGTTTGTGGCTGCAATTCACATTTAATGACTGGGGACATCTCATAGTTACAGAAAAAGCATGCACCAGTCAGCCAATAATTTAGTCCTTCATATTTTTCAGTCCCAAACGGGCACACTTTACCTGTATCAGACTCTGTGACAACATCTACTAAGGAACAAGTAAAGGAGAAGCAGACAGACGCTGTGGCAGTCCATCAACATAGTAAGTCATTCATTCTTTCACTCATTCTGCCATACAGTTGATATTCAGTATATTGTACTGGGAAGTCATTCGATGTCCCCAACCGAAGTTAGGCGTCCAGTGAGGAAATACATGTAGGTGTTGCACACAAGGACTCAACACTGAGATCTACCAGGGATTCGAACCCAGAACCTCTAGATTCCAAGTCAACAAGACCACCCCATAACCCTAGACAGGTATGCTTCTAGCCTGGATGCCACAAGCTCACAAGGCCCCAAGTTATCCAGCATGCAACTTTGGGCCTAGTGTGCTATGGGTCTGGCATCCAGGCTAGTATTCTTCTAAACATACAATGATGTACGCAGCACTGGTGGAACTTAACTCACCCCTCCCCTCCATGAAGTACTGGATCCTTCCCCGTCAACTGACCAGCAAGACAAACTATTTCTCCCTGGCTGGCCATCCACTCTCCCCAGGCCAGAACATGCCCGCGTCCATTAAGCTGTAATGTCAACCCTTTATCAATTAGGACTGTGGATCCATCAAGGCCAGGTTAAGTGGGGATAACCGGGTAATGTATGGAGTGTCAGGAGAAGGTGTCCATCTGGCCTACATGGACAAGGACTTCAAAGCCCTCCACTCAATGCACCGGAGCTTCTCTCAAAGCCCCAGTCTGTTACAGTAGTACATATCAGGGCTCTAGCGAGCACCCGTTTTTCTGTCCATTGCAGGAACTTTGTGGTGTGTGACGGAAAAATTTCTAAACCAATTCGTCAACCTAGCTGAACAAGACTGATCAAAATCTTGGGTAAATATATAAAAAAACATGCAAAGGACTGCCAACAACTACTCTCAGTCATGACTTGCATCTCAAAATGTGGGAAATTGCATTTTTAAAGGCTTGAAAATCCAAAAATTTGCCCTGGACCCCCATTGATTGCAAGCACTCTCCTCCCCAGGTCCTATCATGAGCTGGCTAGAGCCATCTGAAAGGTTGTACAGGTGTCTTGTCTATGCAACTGGGCTAAAGGTCTATAATCTCTTTAGTTTCAGGAAGCAACCTGCTACAGTGTATTCAGAAATTATTTCTACAATCTCCACCCATGAAAGAAAAGAGAAACAAACGTCCAAACAAAACCAAAACAGTCCAAATCATCTGCCTATAAACCCAGTAATGGGGCTAAGCAGTAATAAAGAAGACTGATATCATTTTGAACCTATGCCCAACCTACATATAATTGGAAAGGTAACCTTGACTAGTCTAATATATATTTTCATCTCCTGTTTTCAGTCACGCTATCACGAATAACGTAATGCAGGGCTTGAAATACTGGGTGCATGTGCACCTTAGTGCACCCAAATTTTGAGCTGTGCACCCAATTTTTTTCTGTGGGTCCACCAGTGCGCCCAAATATTTTCATACGTTTAGGTATGTAACATTACAGATGTTAAATGTGTAGTTGTATACAGCATATTCTTACCATCTAAGTGTCAGAAAAGTAGTAAAATCATATATTACTCTTCTTTTAGAAATGAAACATAATTAGGTTTTTCTGACATTCTACTTTAGTACTTATTATAGCTTATATGCAAAAATTCCAAAATCCAAAAATTGAATTTCGAGCCCTGTAATGTATTACCTGTTACCACCCTGACCTCCCCTATCACTCAGGTTAACTTGGTATAACCCCAGGGGGGTCACATTCCAGCAGTGTGTGTCAGGGGATTCTAACAAATGTCAGCACCTGATTTTTAGGATGGTCCCGGGGGGGACTACAGAAGAACATTAACCTCCACCCTGCTGAGGTTTATATATAGCTGTAGGCAATACAGTTTGATGCATGGGTTACTCCTGAGTAGGTTAACCATAACTCATTGCTCTTTGCCGTGCCTACTGGGGAAAAGTACCATTTTTGAAAAGTAGTAAAGCAGGTTAAACTTGAAGCGTAATACTTGAGTTATCAATTTTCTTGAGTTATTACAACATCAGGTTTTTTCATTTAATCTCAATTAGAAATAGGTTATATTTTAGCTCCCGAGTCTTTTATTCTCTCCACAAATCGTGAGACAAATTGTATGATTAAAATACAATGTAGTTTTCGTTACCAGGCTAAAAATAGGTTATGGTACTAGCATATCTTTTCACTATAGCATATATGATATGAAATAGTAGCTGGATGCACATATTAAGTTACAATGGACATATTCATGGTATACTACTAGAGACTTTGAGTTATGGTTTCCTATAAAGACAACAGATGCAGACGTTTTGGATGATGAAGTTCACAAGATGGGGCTTTGTCAAAGGTTAGGGTAGAACGCAAAAATGCCCGCAAGACTGGATTTATGCTTCCCTCATTTCTCACCTATCTTTTAATGCATCCAGCTGCCTGTAACAGGAGGGCTTTGGAGGGGTTTCTCTGTCAGTTTTATTCATTTGGTGGATTATTGCCACCCCCTGAAGTCCCTAAAATGGAATGGTCCTATCTGTCAACAGGGCTCTTCATGCTCCACATCTCAAAGAGGAGAAGATGGCAGAAGTAGGGCATGAAAGCAAAAATTTCAACAGCATTGTAGCAAATTGTATGTACGTGTAGTTTCGAACAATGAAAGATCAATACATATCAACTTCAACCAGAACAGTCACTGATGAAAAGTGGATGTTACTTGAAACGTTTTCAAAATCTATCCTGTTGGCTTCAGTAACAACTTTCTTGTGTATCCCATTACCTGGATGTGTAACCTTCATTGATGTACAACCAGTACACCTAATTCCTTTCTGGTCTAAAAAAAGATCATATTATGCTGGTGAAAGATTCACATAGCTATTGCTTAGTCCTGTCTTTTAAAAAGAAAGAATTCCATGTTTTACATGTACTCCTCCATAGAATGTAATGCATTCTTTTATATTTGAAGGAAACACGAATACCACTGCCCATAACTTCTTCAAACCTGTTTTCACTTTGTATAATGGAGGAATTCTAGACTCTCTACAAATCTGTTTTCTCTTGAACCTCCTATTCAGTCTTTAGAGTAGAAAGTAAGAAAGGAAGACACATTCCAGGCGTGGTTCTGCTTTCTTCTACTATCCTGTGTCTGACTGTTTTAAAAACAAACCCACAAGCTCCATGGTTTCTTAAATACAGCTTTCATTCAGCAAGGTAAAGGTAAAGCAGTCATCTTCAACTGAGGTGAAGCATGAAGCTTTTTTAAGTAGCTGCTAGTGCCGTGCGGCTTCGAATCAGCTCGCGTTTATGTCCACCCACACCAAGTCACCTCTACTCTTCGTCATAAGTAAGTAGGGTTCTTTTATGGGGGCCTGCATGCCCTTTTCTGTAGAGTGTAATCGGCTGTTTTAATTCTACATAGAGCGTAGATGGACCCCTCTAATTCTACGTAGAGCGTAATTGGTGCATTTTACGTATTGCATTACAGCTACATTTGTACATGTACCTGGAATTTATTGTAAAGCGTTATGGGGGAGGCCTCTTGAATTCAGCGTAATACGTAGCCGGCTCTCAAAATTTAGTGTAGAGCATTGTCGGGACCCCCCATGCAAGCCCTCTTTCATCCAGCTCATGGATATAACGAAGTAGTTCAACTACAAGTACAATTTACAAAGATGTTGACCTATGATGAAGGTGGATATAGAAGCTTCTCTGTCCCAGAAGTACTGGTTAATGCTTGCTGATCTTAGCTGCAGTCCCCACACTGTGTGACAAATGTGGCCTGTAACATGGTAAAGTTGAAGAGGAAGCAGTAAAAACAGACACCCTGTTTATGTGTGTGTGGATGGGTCAGCGGAAATCCTCCCTGACAGAACTGTGTGGAGTGATGGTTAGGGAGGGGAAGGTGACAGTGACGCCGATTTACACGCACTGACGGTACAAAGATTGCGTACACTGTGATGCAGTGACACAGTGCGAGCGTATGAAAACTGCGAATGCACGTGAGCGCACAAAAACTATGTACATTGAATTTTTCTTGTGCCTAAATCGGCCTGCTTCAATGTACGTAAAAACGTAAGTTCCGATCGTATACCAGCCCTCAAGGTAAGGTACGATCTTTTGTTCTTTACATACATCAAAGCAGGCCAATATACACTGTACATGTACATGCAAGAAAAATTGACATATATAGTTTTCGCACGCTCATGAGCTTACGCAGTTTTTTGCCTGTGTGTAAATCGGGTCTGTAACTTCCTATAGCTCACGACTTGCCCTTCAGGGATTTGAGCCTCCACTGCTGGGTAGACTGGGAATAATGGGGGATATTGGGAACATCCCAAAGTGCCGTTCTGCCTCCACCCAAGCGATTTGTGCTCCATCTGTCATCTCTGTCTGGGGAGGGTGCATTGTTGGGGGAGGGGGGAGAGCTGTTCTGTCTAGGGACTGTGCATTGTTGGGGGAGCGGAGGAGAGCTGTACTGTCTGGGGAGTGTGCACTGATAGTGACAGGGGAGGGGAACTTCTCACAAGTAGAATAATTTTAGTTAATTTTAGTAAATAGGTCATCACTGTCTATTGTGCCAGGAGTTAGTAAAAGAGGGTCAAATATTAACTTAAAAGGATTAGAAATAAGGTCAAATGTAAAAAGATTATAGATATTCTAAGCACTAGCGTTGAGCTATATTAGCCAAAAATGTGTCCATTTGCAACTCTATCAATGATATTGGGAGTAAAATAAACCATTCTCTAAAACAAATATATATGGGCACATTTTTTGCTGTACTGTACTCAAAGCAGTTGTTTGAAAGTTTTCTAAGTTACTAATCTGTTTTCCATGCATCTTCAGCCAGTATACAATAATAACACAGATTCACATCTTTCCACGTACTTAGAGGCAACATAATTTATTACAGAGATAGCAGTGTCTCGTATAACAGAGGCCGTTTCAATAGGGCAGTGCGCGTCCTTGGCCATCTCCTTGGCGTGCTTGATTGCGTTTCGCACACGTGATGGATCGTCGTCATTTCCTCGGTGTAAAAGTCAGGAGACGGACACGGGGTCCATCCGTCAAGCC